ACACCTCGACACGTGTTTTGGTCACCAAGTGATCCTCTTCAAGAGGATCTTTCCGCCAATTCTACAGTCCAGTTGGACTGTTTCGCAGCCGGTTCATTTCTATGTACTGGTTTTTTGGCCTTTGAGAGTGCCGCCAACTTTAAGTGTGCACAATATCGTTTACTTCGACTATCCCTTATGTTTCTTACGGAAAAATCGAGATTTGAGCTGGCGTGGCCGGTTTGTAGGTGTAGCAGTCTCAAAGCTCTTTCGACTTTCGGTTTCAATTTCGTTGCTGACTAATTTGACTTCGCTAAAGAAAATGGAATTTAATTTTTTCTATTTTGTTTTGTAGCATGTTACAGCAACAAATTGGTTTCTCTTTCAGATATAAAAATCCAGTAACATCTTTGCGCATGGCTTTTACAAATTTTTCCATCAGATCGAGTGCAACGGTGGTAAAAGTGTGTCATCAGGGTTCACTAAAGGCTTATTTTTAACATTTTTATGGCCTGGAGTAAGTGACTCACACTTGAGCTACATTTTACTTTATTAGTGACTTTTTCTGTATCTGCTGTCCCATTCGCAAATAAAACAGCAAAATTTTGTGTAATCAACATAATTATAGTCCAAGCAAATAATAATGAACTTAAATCGCAACAAATTTTCCAAGCGCGTTCACTGTATTTCATTTTTTCGAGAAGAAATCTCATATTTTCGTAAGTCTCTTTCATATAAGAACCATGAGCAACCGGCACTGAAGGGAGTTCGTTTCTGTTATGCAGCAACACTGCTTTCAAACTAGTTTTTGAGGAGTCAATAAACAGTCGCCAGTGACTTGGGTCATATTCAAAATTCAATAAATTCATCACAGCATAAATATTATCACAATGGACTTTAGGAAAGTAAGGTTTTATTTCATCGTCACAATGTCGAAAATAAGAAACTTTTGTAACAGGAGAAAGTAAATTCCAGTCCTTTAATCTAGATCCCAAAAGCTCAGCCTGTTTATTTATACAAATTCAAATCACGTACTAAATCGTTTAAATCACTTTGTGTCAATAAGTGCGGTTCTTTTGAAGTTTGCGGTTCATAACTTGGGTCACTATCTTCATATTCCTCATGCGAACAAATTCCGCCGGACTGGAATCCTGACTTTCTAGTCGATTTGAAGGCTTCAGCACAAGCAGTTCGGCACTATGTAGGATGGGTCTGTTGGCTGAAGACAAGTTTGGATACTGTATAGTATGTTTGGACTTCGTTGTAATGTCTTTTATTTTTGTTCCATGGACTGAAATTTCGACGCTGATATGTAAAAGCTGATTCTTCACACACATAACAACTGTCAGGGTTAGTAGACAACTTTCGTTGCATATTAGCGATGTGCCTAACGAAAATAAAATGTATGTTAGCTGATGCAATAGCTATACAGCCGCCTAAATGAGGTATGTTAGGTCAGAAATGAATATATAGCTGTCACAAAAACTGGATGTGATTGAAAAAAACTTATTATACATCGTGACTCACGGTCGATGGTAGGTTAGACGTTTCTGGAAAACGCAAAGCATGATTTTTCTGATAATTTCACCTCTCACATTTCCTTACCTGTTCTATCGATCTAAAATGTTATCAGCATAGCGGCGTTGCCACTTCTATCAAAAAGTCCTAGCAATTATATTTTTTTAAATGGAACACCCCGTATATTAATACATTTTTGGAATCGCTCTAGTATTTTAATACTTTTTTGTCGATAATGTCCTATACCTATCTCTATCTGTTTTCGAGATAAAAAATAAATTGTGCTAAATATGGTCCAAAACATAGCCTTAATTGAAATTAAGTACATCAGTACTCTCAATTCATGAAAAGTTGATATTTTGACGATAGTTTGGACAAACTCGAAATATTCAAATAACACCAAGAAATCGACTCCATATCATACAGGGCGTGCTAAAATTACTATTATTTTCATTGTGCATAAAAGTAGTCGAAAGTTCATTTTTTCAAATGAAACCCCCTGTATATTACTAGATAAATTGAAAGATGGTGAAGAATGCTTCAAGATGATATACATGTCCCTATACCTAAATCGTCAAGTTTTCTTAATAAAGCCGTTTTTGTGGAAAAATAGTTATTCACGTTTTACCTACAAGTGTTCAAAGTGGCATTTTATTTTGTGAGTGGGGATTATTGCAAATCGAGCGTCAGCAAGTGGAGCAAACTCACGAGCAAAATAAAATCACTTTCAACAAATGTATCATACAATTTTTTTTTGTATAACGTTACTACTGATAATGAAAATAATTATAGGGTCCATGGGATTTGAACACACGATCTTTGGATTACAAGGCATATGTTACAACTACATACGCCAACTCACGTTATTTTAAGAAGGATTATTGGTTAGTCATGAAGGACTTTCTACAGTTGGACTGAATTCTATTTCGTCATCGTCAGTAACTTCACAGGGATTTAATATTACCAATAGCACGAACTGCATGTGTGAACTTTTCTAAATGATTTTTTGGTAGGTGTTCTGATTGAAGTGTTTCTATCAAAGAAATTTCCAATAACAGTTGTACAAAAAATAATTTTTGAAGAATTTGATTTCTAGGTAGCCATGGAAATATCAAGCTTATGACAGTTTGGTGACTTTTATGAGTAATTGATAAATGGTTATCGACAGTGTTTCAAAAAATCGCCGAAAATGAATGCAAATATTGATTATTCAAACGAAGTTCATATGAAATTGTTTATTATACACGAACAATGTGATCAAATCATTGCCAGAACTTGTATAAAATTCAACCAAATGTATCCTGAATTAACACCAATGAACGACAGAAAGTTTGTAAGATTACAAAATAATTTCCATGACTATGGCTCCATGTTAAAAGCGCCTTCAACATTACCAAAACCTGTTACTTCAAATGAGGACAATACTGTAAACGTTTTGGCATATTTTTATCCATATCCAGAAGCTACCATTCGCAGTGCAGAAAAAGATTTAGGTGTATCACATGCTTCAATACAACGAATTTTGAAAAATCACGGAATGCATCCGTATAAATTTACCAAAGTTCAAGCTCAAAAAGCAGAAGACTTTGAACGTAGAATGCATTTTTGTGAATTCCTTTTGATTCATACACAGGAAGATCGGGAATTTTTGTCAAAAATAATTTGGAGCGACGAATCAAAATTTACGAGGGATGGTATTTTCAATAGAAGGAATAAACATTTTTGGGCTGATCATAATCCTCATGTTACAAAAGATATGGGTTTTCAAGAAAAATTTGACCTGAATTTTTTTTGTGTTCTGAAAAACAATAAAATTAGCTTTTTCATTTATGAAGATACACTGAATGCAGAGAGATATCTTCAAATATTGAGGACGACTGTAACCAATTTTCTTGAGAATTTGCCTTTAGAGGAATAAAGGAATTCGTGGTTTCAACTGGACGGAGCGCCAGCTCATTCCACCCAGGAAGTTTCCAGAAAACTTGACGAACTCTTCGACGATCGTTAGTTTAGGCGTTTAGGGCCGTGGGATTGGCCACCGAGATCACCTGATCTCACGCCGCTTGACTTTTTTTTCATGGGATGTTTCAAAAGAAAGGGTAGTGCCTACCAAAGAAGAATTGCGACGGCGAATAGTGCGGAGTATTGAAGATCTGGATCCCCAGGAAATTGAAAAAGCAACCACAAGTCGCGTACAAAAAAACATTTTAAAGTGTTTAGAATGTAATGGACAACATTTTCAGCATTTATTGTGAAAATGTGATTTTTTGTTTACAATTTTGTTATTTTGAATCATCCTATTCTGTTATTGTCTGTACTTTCACATGTTTCAGCCTACAAAATCTTACTTTTTACCTAGAAATGACTGATTTTTGGTACTGTTGTTCCCTGGAAACTTTGAGCCATAGTTAAGGAAATTATTTTGTAACCTTACAAACTTTCTCTCGTTCATTGGTGTTAATTCAAGATACATTTGGTTGACTTTTTTACACGTTCTGACAATGATTTGATCACTTTGTTTTTGTGTATAATAAGTAATTTCATAAGAACTTCGTTTGAATAATCGATATTTGCATTCATTTTGGAAGATGTATCAAAACATCGTCGATAACTCTTTGTAAATTACGTATAAAAGTTACCGAACTGCTATAAGCTTGATAATTTCAATGCTACCTAAATCCAAATTCTAAAAAAAAATGTTTCTAGAAGAAGCGATTTTATTGAGAAAACTTAACGATTTAGGTATAGGGACATAATATATCATCTTGAAGCATTTTTCACCATCTTTCAATTTACTGAGTAATATACAGGGGGTTTTGTTTGAAAAAATGAACTTTTGACAAATTTTATGCACAATGGAGATAATAATAATTTTAGCACGCCCTGTATGATATGGAGTCGATTTCTTGGTGTTATTTGAATATCTCGAGTTTGTCCAAACTATTATCAAAATATCAACTTTTCATGAATTGAGAGTACTGATGTACTTAATTTCAATTGAGGCTATGTTTTGGACCATATTTAGCACAACTTATTTTTTATCTCGAAAACAGATAGAGATAGGTATAGGACATTATAAACAAAAAAGTATCAAAATACCAGAGCAATTCCAAAAATGTATCAATATACGGGGTGTTCCCTTCAAAAAAATAGAGTTGCTAGGACTTTTTGATGGAAGTGGCAACGCCGCAATGCTGAAAATATTTCAGATCGATAGAACAGGTGAGAAAATGTGAGAGGTGAAATTTTCAGAAAAATCATGCTTTGCATTTTCCAGAAACGTCTAACCTACCATCGACCGTAAGTCACGCTGTATATTTATAAAGGGGGTAAGCAAACATAAACAAAACACATCACAAAGTTCATATGACAAAAACACTGTTGACCTGTGTAATTATTCAACTTCTATAGCATATCAATTTTCATTTTAATTTCAACATGAATTTTCACGAAATAAAAAGGTCATCAATAGAACGAGATTCATTATACACTTCTTGTTTCAGCTTTCTCGATCGGGTCCAACAGACGTTACTCTCAAAGGCATCCGAAGGGAACAAACAGGAGATTATAAATGCGAAGTTTCAGCTGATGCTCCACGATTCCACACTGAAATTCGAGGAGCACACATGATTGTAGCAGGTGAGAAAACAAAAAAAAACAAAATAAAAAATACTTATCGTCCTCAATCACTATGTATTAAAAGGTTAGATAGTTTTTGAGGGTTCTGTAATAGACGCTTAAGAGGCACGCGCAAATTAGTTCAATCATATGATATCGTGCCGGCTAAAAAAGTTATAAGGGTCAAAAGGTCACGAAAATCAGTTTTTCGGGAATATCTCGCGGCATAAGGCTCGGAGGTCAATGAAGGCCATTATAAAAATTATTCCTCATACGATTATCCACAAAAATGTCTGTAAAGTCAACCGTTTTCGGACTAGAGCGCTGAGAAAGCGACTATATTATGATGATGCACTCGTTTCCGCACCACCTTTGAGGTAGAAAATTCCTATATACACACATCGGAAAAGTCTAGGGATATTTTTAAAAATGGCAATAATATTTTTTTAGATCGCTTTAGGGAGAAAAAGTTGACGGGTGATTATTAAACGAATGTAACTCACAACAAAATTTATTAAATGGTCAAAAATACTGAGTGCGCATATAAGCAAAACTAAAAAAAATTTGGCTCTTCTTTGGCACCCCGAAAAAAATCATAATACAAAATAAATGGGAATCAGTACAAAGTATGGCCTCCACGCTGGTTAATTACGGCCCAACATCTATCGTGCATCGACAAAATGAGATTATCAATGACTTGTTGAGGTACATTTGCCCATTCAGCGATTGAAAGCTCTTTCAATTGAAACGTTGTGTGAATGTTCCCCATATGCGGAGTAATTCTTCGTTGAAGCATGTCCCACACATGCTCGATGGGATTCAGGTCTGGTGATTGTGCTGGCCATGGCAATACATCAACTCCTTAGTTGGTGAGCCAGTCAATCACTAGACGCGCGACATGTGGACGAGCATTATCGTGCATTAGGTGGAAGTTCTCACCAACAGCACCAGCAAATGGACGGACGATAGGTAGAAGAATGGTGTCGAGGTACTGTCGAGCTGTGAGGGAGCGATTTGGAAAAACGAGATCGGTTCTGCCGCCGATCATGATTCCGCCCCATAGCATTACTGTACCACCTCTGTATGTGTGGACTTCCTGGACGTGTCTCAAACGTTCATTATTTCCAGGTCGCCTCCACAGTCTTACTCGACGAGAATCTGGATGAAATCCAGATCTGGATTCGTCTGTAAACAAAACTGTGGCCCAATCATTTGCATCCCAGTTTTGATGTTCTTGACACCACTCTAGTCTTCTACCGCGATATCCTCTCGACAAAGGTGGACATCTATGTGGCCTTCTGCTCCATGCAGTCGATTTCTGACAGTATCACGACCAGTGGTTACCTGGTGCGTCTGCTTCAACACGTTAACCAACTCAGGTGCTGTGATTGTCGGTTGTCTTCTTGCGGTTAAGACCAAAAATCGGTCTTGAACTGCAGTAGTAGCGCGTCCTCGTCCTGGATGTTGTTCGGCTGGACTGCCAGTTTCACGGAAACGCCGCCACAATCGACTGATTACACTTTGGGAGACCCCCAAACGAAGAGCTACATCATTTTGTCGCATGCCACCTTGAAGAAGCCCTAAGCTCTATTCATTTCAGCCAATGGTAAGTGATGGCGTTCCATGTTAAAGCACAATATTTCCAGTTTAATTGCTGAGCAAGAACTGCATAGAATGTACAAACTCGTCACTTTCAGATTATTCATTTTAGCCGAAAACCTACAGTTTGTAAAAAACTTGATAAAAGATTAATTACCGTTTTTGCAGGTTTTGTTCAACCCATAGAAATCTACAGGGTGGTCGAGTGTACCAATTTAATCGAAATTAAACGACCTCATGCATTTATTATTATGATATTTAGTATGTTATAAAAATATCCCTAGACTTTTCCGATGTGTGTATATCTCTATAGAAAAATAATATTCAGAACGGATGTGCACAACTTGAATTTGAGATTCGGAGGTTTGTTATCTCCACCGGCATTTGAAACGGAAACATTCAGACGTTCCTTTACATATCAAATCTATAAGTTGCGCAACTCCGTTCCTAAATCCTTGCAAAATTTCAGAATTACAAGTTTTAAGTCAAATTATCAAAATTCCCTACTTGAAAAATAAAATTCAGTTTTATCATAACTTGCTCTCCTGTGTTCCCTTGTAACCTTACTATAGCTATTAATGTAATATATGTATTCTATATACGGGGCTTTTCATGATGAGCGTTAATTAGCCGTTTCTGACAAATTATTAAACGGATCGACCTGAAAATTTCACAGTATGCATAAATCAAAATGACCTACACGCCTAAAATATTTCAGACAAAGCGGCGTTGTCGCTTCTACTATAAAGTAGCACTTTGTCAACAAATTCATATACTATTTCCCTATACCTATCTATTACCGTTTAGAAGATATAAATTAATTTCGATATTTTTTTTACCAAACATGAACTTTTATAAATGCTGATAATCTTGAACTCTC